ACAAATTGTATCTGATCTTGTTCGTCCCCTTTTTAAAGAATCTGAACTGCCCTTAGGGAGAAAGCAACCAAGAACAGTTAAGTCCTTTATACCAAATGCAATAATTTAGTTGAACTCATAAGCATCATTCACAGTGGAATCATATCTGTTATTATTGTCTGCACTGTGCATGTTGTGCTAATTCATTCTTGTATTTATTGTTTGTGAGTTACAATGATGTGTCTCAGCCAGCCTGCGAAGCCAAAGGCAAATTTCAACATCCGTGGACAACAAGGACTATTATTATCATTATATAGGATTAATCTGTGCTGCTATAATTCAACGGACATTTTTTAGCTTGTTGATAATCTTCGCTTGCCGTCTCTGAATCTCTGTCTCTCTGTCTTTCTGTACCACCTCCTCCTTTAGATAAGTGAGCAGAACAGAATTATTACATCATTGTTCATGATGTATGTTTGTACAGACTGTACAAAGAGAATTATGTTCTCACCGCACCTATAGATACATCCTCTCATTCTACTTCCTTTCTATATAATAGGATTCAAATGTATTCCTCATTTTGTTGCACGGCCCTCGTGGTGCCGTACTGTGGTGTCACGCACATTGTTTTAAACAATGTACATTATACAAAAAAAAGCTACAGCATATTTACAACATGTTAACATGTCAGCATTTTGCAGATATTGATGTTGCATTAACGTGGAGCTGAAACAATGAGTCAATTAATCAATACAACAGCAACAATTTTGTCAATCAATCAATTGTTTAAGTCATTGTTCAGTCAGAGGAAAGGCCAATTATTCTGTAGTTCCACATAGCAGTTGTTGGGGTTTGATGCTCTCGTTTAGGTCATATGATAGTGAACTAAGTATATTCGGTTTTAACTGTTGCTGGGACAGAACGAGGAGACTGTAAATGTATTGTTTGTCATTAGGAAACTGTAATGTAAGTGTTAGAAAATTAGGATTTTTCACTATTTTCACCAAGAAATTCATTAACTGATTGTGAAAATAATAAAGATGATTCACTGGGTAATAACAATAATCATTACTTGCAGCCTTACTACATTAATACTGGGTTTTTACAACTTGTAGCAGTGTAAGTGTTTACTGTCGCTATACAGCATGAGGGTCATTACTTCCCAGTATACAGGTTCTGGTATAGTGCAGCCACAACACATTAGAGGAAGCAGGTTGGACTGAATGAAATAAAACACTAACTGGCAGAGAATTCCTTTGTGACTGACACAATATAGAAGCAATAAAAGTATATACTGTAAGGTATAAGGTAAAGAACAGTATGTAAACAAAAGAAAACGCAGCAGTGAAGTCACTCCAGTTGTTTCCTGTTGTGGTATATGGCTCGTACGGATCATTCACAGGTTGTTCCTCAATCCTTTGACTAGAAAAAGTTCATCTTTAAATCTACTAACAGAGGTGTGAATGTTTCTAACTGCTATTTGCTGTTGTTCACTGGTAATGATCAGAAAGATTTCTCTGAATCTCTTCGTCATATACTGTCGGTAATTTGATTGTGATGATTAGATTATAGAAGTCATTTGATTGTGGGGTTTCCACCAGTAACAGTAACTGATTTAAGGTTGTAGAGATTATGTTGTAGTCATGGGATGGTTGGGAAGTTCAACATGCACGGCATCCAAAGTGGCTGCTCAACACCGTATTCACTTTCACTTTCATAGAAACATGAAACTCAAAATAAAATGTGTCAGCAGCTTTGGTCACTTTCTGTAAACAAGGATTACACTCTATCAATTATCTTACAGTTTGAATATTAATATCAAATTACAGTGTTACAGAGGGTCACTGAAAATACCACAAGCACTATCACTACGGTTGCCGTTCTTGCTGACACTGTGCTGATGATACTGTGATATCGACTCTCCATCACCTCATTCCACAATTTCACTCGATTTCCGCTTGAAGTTTTTTTCATCTGAGGAGGAAAAAGGACTTCTCCCTGACCTCTGTAACTCACTTTTAAACTTGTTTCACCCAGTGAAGCAGCGGCCGCAGCTGCAGGGCTGGATGCACCTTATGGTCAGAGTCACATCAATGTCACAGGTGTCACTCACGCTGGCAAGAGCTGTCGCTTCCCCCTCCGCCTCACGGTGTAAGAGTGGCCGACCTGCAGGCTTTACCAAAACAAAACTGCCTATAAGGGTGGATTCATGTCAACTTTTCAAGGTTGATGCGAATATTATTTGCTGTGAAGTTATTTGTAACGTCTAGTGATATTCCAGTAAGGTTGTCTTTTGAAGAACGCAAATTATAAACATAACTAAAAACAATGATGACACTAAGGTCAATGCAAATACACCAGTGGTGGAAGAAGTACTTAGTTAAAAGTACCAGTCCTACATTATCACAGGAACAGTATATAATATGTAATAGAATAGAATATATACAATAGTCTACAGTATATAATTAGACTATTATTCCAGTGGGAAATTTGTCTGCAATATAAAATCACAGCTACAACAATAAAGCAACAAAAAAAAAAGCAGATACATCCATCAGTCACTTGCACATGCTCATCTACATTAGAAAAGTATCTGAAACAAGGAGCCTCAACCAGACAGTTTTTTAAAGAAGTCAAAAACCAAAAATGTTGTGACTCACTAGTTTCTAATATTATTATTAATGCTTTATCATGTGTTTTCACATGTAAAATCTGAACCTGAAAAGTAATAGCTATAGCTTTCAAATAAATGTATAGGAGTAAAAAGTACAATATTTACCTCTGAAATAAAGAGTGTATATAGTAGAATAAAACGCAATACTATGCAAATACTCTGTACAAGTACCTCAAAATTGTACACTTTAGTAGGCTAGTTGGGTAACTGTACTTGGGTTTACATAGTAACTTTCCACTAATGGCAAATACTAATATAATGCAAAGGACTTCTCTTTCCAACCACGTCCTTTTTTTTTGGTTAAACATTTTACTCTGCTATGCCCTGACACAATGAAGGCATTTTAACTATATCCTTGGCTCCGTGTCAGTGTGCCTGAAGTTAGCCCAGTAGCTTCCCTTTGACTAATATAATGTAATTTAATGAGAGACTGTTTCTGCATAACTACAGTATTTGAATGAAAACTTCTTCTTCACGTCTTCACATCTACCATATCAGCGATTGGACCACAGAACACTAGTAATAAACGGTCAGTATCATCCTACCATACATAAAAAGATGTCATGAAAGATGTCATGAAACCTTGAGGTGAGGCAGACTGAGCAAAACCATTTTTTTGGTGAGTTGAAAATTATGAATTGAGAGTCAATAAGAAGAAGAAGAAGTGACCGCTTTATTTCCAAACTTTCTGCATTGTATTTATGGAAAGTCCCAATTTGACATGACAAAAACAGGTAACTGCACATTTGCAGGATATTTCCTGACAAGATAATAAAAGAAGTAACTCAGCAGTGATTGTAGCGACTGTGTCATGAGGAAAAATAACAGGTGCTCCTCTGAAACCCAACAAACAACCATAGTGGGAAATCCCCAGTTCTTTACAACAACTATTTGATTGAAGACATATGTGGGTCAGAGTTCACATGGCAAATTTATTATTAAATTGTTATATTTATTTATATTCAAATAATATGAGGATTGAAATTGAGATATAGTGTCATTTTGTCACAGAAAGGACAAATAGATATTTCTATCAACTGGAAACTATTGGCACATATCTTGTGTTTATAAACAGGAAATACATAAACTGCCCTCACGGTTTCCCTTTGTTCATGAAGTGACATAAGTGTGTGCGTGTGTGTGTGTGTGTGTGTGTGTGTGTGTGTGTGTGTGTGTGTGTGTGTGTGGTGGTACCGTAACCTACTCCTGTCCCTGTGTCACGTGACGTAGCTCTGGTCCTGATGCTGCTGTTACCGGGACCTTGTATGAGGGGTGATTAATGCCACACAACAGTAGGTGGAAGGGATCTGTTAGCAACATGACTGGACCAGGCTAAAATACTGGTTTCACACTATATCATCTTTAGAGGAACAGACAGCAACATACACTATACAAATAAAATTTTGGAAAAAAAAAGAAACACAAAAAATAAGATTATGGGTTGGTTTAGATGTGATGTTGTGTTGTAAATTAATTGGGTTGCATGTGCTGTTTTTAAACATTGTCATAAAATGCATTTAAGGCACTCTGAACACAACCTGTCTATCTACATAGATATGTTTTTGCCTACTGTGTAAAACATTTACAGTTGCCAAAAAATGTCTGGTAAAAAAAAATAATGTTACAGAAAAACAAATCTATGTGGAATTTTATTTTGTAGTTTATTTATTTACTTGATAGGGACAATGCAATTCAGCATAGTCTCAAAACAGGGTACAAAACCAATGTGTTGCACAAAGAGTTTATAGCTATTACTAATTCTTGACCCCTGTCCCTAGTTGGACTTTTGCATATATAATGTAATTAAAACAGTCAATAGCAAAAACAACACAAAACAGACAACACCCTGAGGATTGGGTTGCATCAGGGCCATGTTAACATTAAGTTTAGTATACGGTGATATGTCATACTATATGACTTAAACAAGCTGAGAAATATAGCAGTGCAGCTTCATTTAACACAAGTAACTGAATGGGAAAATTATGTTGAACTTCAGCTATTTTAAATGGATTTACTAGAATAGGTACACATTTAGTGATGCAGCAAGCTGTCCAATTCTAATAATTACTCAAATCAATGACAGCAATAAACTGCAAATGTTTTATTCGTTCTTCAATTAACTTGCTGGTGATATATACAGTCTGCCAATTAATTCATTTGTTTTTTTGTTTTTTAAATTATCAAGACAGTTAATACTTACTCCATTCAAAAAATAAAGGTTTGTAGCTTTAATTCGTCCACCTGCTTCTCTGTGGCACTAATCACCCCTCATACAGAAACAAGCATCATCGCTGCTGATCTGGAAATTCCCCTTTCCTGCCATTTAAAAGCTCCGCTCTGAGGGCAGTATGAGCCCAGCGCTCTGCGAACTGAATAACGAGGTTGTGAGCTAAATTATGTAATATTCTGTGTGAAGAAGAGGATAATAAAGAAGAGCAGGTTTTGCATGTTTTTTAAATGGGAAATCTGTTGGGCAGCTGGCGTTTCAAGGAGCCGAGTACCGTTGAGGAATGCGACTCGACGTGGGGATCGGACTCGGAGAGCGACGAGCCGGCGGCTGAAGATGACAGCGGTATCTCCGACTCCGTCAGCGCGGCGGAGAGCGACCGGGCCGCCGGAGACCCTGGAGACTCGTCCCCGCAGGTAGAGTCGGAGTTATGATAGATGCATGTGTTGACATAGGGGATGTGGGGGGGCGCACACACACACACACACACACACACACGGTGCGGTAACATGTGCCACCGGCAGCGCATAATATTGACAAGGCCAGGACACAGAAAGGGCAACCGAGTAGACCCGATACACGCTGCTGTCTTCATGGGGAGAGCATTCAGCCTCCGCCAAACTTCATTCAAAAATATATCAATTTTATGTATCGTTGGTTAAAGCCAGCGATATAATCACGATGTCAACTTTCATGCTACACTTCTCATTGTGGCGTTTAATCAACCAGGTAGCACTTCACTGAAATAGTCATCTAGCACTTTTACTAATGTGCACTAAAAAAGACAGCTGACTGTAAAACTGTTTTTAAAATTGAGATGAATTTACATACACTTCTGCTAAATGTATTACACATCATTTCAAAAGGATTAAAAACCTGTTATATGGTACTGTGAAAATATACCTGCAAACATAGCATTATAGACTCCATACTACTGCATACGCTTAATTTTGTCAGTTAATCACTAAAGATAGTTGGTTAGTCTCAATATTACTTTTCAAAATGAAGTTACAATATCTGCCTGCTGGTGTATGCAGGCAATGAAATATTAAAATAATGATTATGATCACAGTGGCCTGAATTATCAGAATAGTTGATGTTCGACTACATCACACTGTGTCAAAATATTAAAACCAGCAGGTTGTAACAGGAGTATCTGAAGACCTGTGATTCAGTGGATGAAGTCAAGTCAGTTTTATTTAAATAGAAATCATAAAATCAGTCATAAAATCATAACAGAGGCTCAGGATGACTCTTTCTTAGATTTCAAATTGGTTAAATCAGACTATTGTTTTGCCATGATTGCAATCACACATCACATTTCTGTGAAAATTTAGGATGCAGTTTGCAAATTGTAACGTAATTTCAGGATCAGGTCAAAATCACGAAAGCCACAAACAGACACAAAAAAAGCTTCATACAGAATATAGCTTTTAGTAGTGTGTGATTAAAACATGAAACCTGGTTTTTGGCATAATTCAGTATAGTATGGATAAATCTAGTTAGATATAACAGGATTAGGCCTAGTACAACACTGCCAGCCCTTCTGACCAGTGGAAGTTAGCATGACCCAGATTTTATTAGAGAATCAATCCTAGTTTCTAGCGTCCTTTTGTCGTGATTGCACGGCAGCGCTGATGTGAATTGTCCTCCTTTGCTAGAAAGAAATGGATGATGACAGTCGTCGACCTCAAAAGCAAAGTCTGTGCTTTTAATTCAGCTGAATGGCAGATGAGCGCTACGCTGCATCGGTTCAAACACAAGTTGTTTAGGGGTTTTTTTGTTATTTTTTTACTCTCTTCTTTTGTTCCTTTTTTCTTCATTTTTTACATTTTTTTAAGTTTCTTTCTTTCTTGCGTCTTTTCTCAGCTGACTGACTCCCCAGAGTCTGTTCCAAAGATGAAGAGGAGTTTCTATGCTGCAAGGGACCTCTACAAATACCGTCACAGCTACCCGGTACATACACACACACACACACACACACACACACACACACACAGAAAAGATTATGTCATTGTGGTGCCATTGATACCCAAGAATGTAGAACCACCTCAATGCACAGTTGCTTTCTGACACACACACACTCACACACACATACACACACACACAGTGTTGACACCCTGTGTGATCTGTTTGATCTTTTATGCAGAACTACAAAAGGCCGCGGCAACCCAACGAGTACCGTAACCTACGCTTCTATCTGAACAAGATCCCTCTGGTACCTGATGGTGAGCTCATGCACACACACACACACACACACACACACACACACACACACACACATACACACACGCTTTATGTATGCAGACCCCCTGCCACTGTGGAGAGAAGAGCTGTTGGCTTTGGGTTTAGTCTTGTTTGGCTAAAGGTCATGTTTGACTGGGAAAGACCAGCAAATTAGTGAACTTATCCAATGTTTTAACATGCTCTCTCTCTCTCTCTCTCTCTTTCTCTCTCTCTCTCTCTCACACACACACACACACACACACACACAATAAAACCTGCATGACAGCTAATCAGCCCCGTCTTTTCTCAGGTATCTATATAGAGGAAATTCTGTCTAAGTGGCGAGGCGACTACGACAAACTGGAGCACAATCACACCTACATTCAGTGGTGAGACATTTCAACTGCTGTGTCTGTTTCCATGTCATACACCTGTCACGTGATTGCATCAACTCCTGGTAGTTGACCGGATTATTTATTGGGTGTTAGAAGCCATGGTAACTGACATGTCAGAGCTGCTATTTTCTGTCTAGTTGTCAAGCAAAAGTCAACAGAAATAAAGTGAGGATTTCATCAGCTGCTCTTCCTGCATGTAAAGTATGGGATGTTTTAGAAATAGATGTGAATTTGACTGGCGGCTTTTGTCGGCTGTAGCTAGCTGGCTAATTAAGGTAACATTAGCTTCAGTGATAGTTGATTTTTTAATGGTTCAAGCTGACTGGTTTTGAAATGGGAACCGTGTTAGATACAGTATGTGCTATAAAATACTATTAATATGCACATACGTGCTAGCACGTGCTAACACACCATCTGATGAGGCCAGTCGAAGACGTAGAAATAAAGAAACAGAGTTGTTCGTTCACTGCAGCGTACAGCTAGTTAGTCGTGGTATTATCAGTATGATGAGGTGAAATGTTATTTTATTCTAGCGTGATCCTGTTTGTCCGCTTAGCTTACACACGAAACTGTGTTTCACCTTTAACACTAGAGGAGAAAAGGCTTTGTGATGTGTGACGGTAATAACAGCAGGTGGGTTTGCAAGACAGAGATGCCAACGTTACTCTGAGCTTTGATAGCTTCCAGAACCAGCCCCCACACAGTGGAAAAATATTGAACTGTGCTAGGTGTGCTAATCATGAATGAGGCTTTTTTTTTTTTATCATGTAACCTGCAAACCTACAAACTAATGTAGTTAGGTAATGATGTGCTCTTTCGCAGTGCTCCTGATGTGCTACACTGTATGTAGTAAGGTGGTTAGCTGGGCATGCTAACATTTTGCAGCTTATATGAGAGCTGTTTAATCCATTAATTACAAGTATGCTCTTGTATTGTTGGTTTTGGGAAGACTAAAAAAAAACCTGTCAAACTCCTCATATACAGAGTATCTTACTTAATGTATCTTTGTTACTATACACAGCGTCAGCATGTAGAGAAATCCACATAGTTATGAGAGCAAAGCTATGATTGATGAATCGTTGTTGGAGGAGTTCAGTGAATGGTTATTTTAGCTCATACACCTGTGGAGATGTCTAAGGGAGCAAAAGTGGGACTAACCTTCTTTACTTTACTTTGTGGTGAACAGCATTAGCAACTTAACTAATAATCTACATTATTTAATCAACAAAACTGCTCTCATGTGATTATTTATTGTTAATTATTGATTATTTATCATGTATTTTTTATTCCTTTTTTTGTGTTGCAGGCTGTTCCCATTAAGAGAACAAGGGCTCAACTTCTACGCACATGAACTGACTCAGGACGAGATCAAAGTAAGACACACACAAGTAAACTTAAATACATATAGACGCGATATACAGTGTGAATGTGTGAGCTTTTTTTACACTTCCTCACTGAATCAGTGCTTAGCTTCCATTCAACCAAAAAAAAATAAGAATACTTTTTCCATGTGTGAGCAGTTACCAAAAGGGACGAAACCACCATCTTCACAGAAAGACAGTGGGGGGATAGTGGGGGAAGTTTTGGCTCTTGACACTTCAATGTTATTGAGTGCAAATTTGTCTTTGAGCAAATTTAGATGTGGTTTGAGTGAAACAGACTTTATATCATTATGCTCCATGTGATCTGATCACCCATGATGCATGAAAAACCACAAAGATGGAGATGTACCTGTGTGTGTTTGGCTCTGTTCAGAACATCCACTCTCTTACTCTACAGTGAATCAGCCATGTTGTAGCGCTGTTCTTATTTTCAACCGTGAATTTAATCTACTATATTGTGAAAGTGCTGCAGAAGAAGAAGTCATCTCGCTGACAGGCTAGACGCTGATATTAGCTGCTAGCTAATGTGATTTTATTACCCGTTGAGAGTGCCTGGCGGGCATAAGGCTGGGAACCAACCGGGTGCGTTACGTGTGCACGGCGGCTGTGGAACATCTCGGTTTTCATTTCGGCGCCCGTTTTATTGGGTTAGAGCCAACACACTCCCTGCGTGACGTGAAGCGTGAGACGTGTGCCTGCTGGTGTCATATTGACATCATTCCACTACAGTTGTCTATGTCTCGGTTGAATCTGAATATGACACAGACATGAAAAAATATGAATATATTTTTTAACCCTAGTAGCAGCTGCATGTGGAGACAGTGGTATTTTAGTGACATTATCAGTCAAAAATAAATCAGAAATTAATTTATGATGAAAAGAAATCCAACATTTAAGTCGCCTGCAAACTATTTAGAGAGACAGAGCTGCAGCAGCTGGTGTGAAAACACATACGCGTGCAAGCCGTAGCAGTTCAGCGTGCCAGCCGTCATGCACACGAAGGCAGCGTGTAGAGACAAATTAAAACATACATGGCACATAAAAGATGTGAAAAAATTGTATGTCATGCAAGATAGCATGTATGATGATGTTTGTTTATGCGATGGAGAATTATTACAAATATCCGATGCACAATTATGTAGCAGTTTAACATCCAAGTAGTGTTGGAAACATATCAACTGCTGCAACTGCTGCCTGCAGTGAGTTTTCTATGTAGCAAACACTATATAGTAGGTGAAAGAGTGAGTGGACAGGTGGACAATCTGAACACAGCGTTGGTCTCTGATGTACTGATGTACTGTATTCATATAGAAATAAATATATCTGTACTGAATCCTGTCAGGAATTCCAAAGCACTCGTGAAGCTAAGAGGAGATTCCTGGCGGCCTACTCCCTGATGTTGGACTTCTACGGCATCAAACTGCTGGATAAGAGCGGAAATGTTGCTCGTGCTTCTAACTGGCAGGAGCGCTTCCAGCACCTTAATGAGTAAGCAGCACACACACACACACACACACACACATTGTTCAGCAGCTTAGGGGTGTAGAACCTTGTGTCAACTTATCGCTCACTTGCCAAACACTGATTATTTGTCCTTTAGCAAAGCAATTATTCTGAATCCCATGCAACTCAATTGTTCCTGTATCAGCAGCCAAATGTGAAACAGCATGTTTTAAGTCAACAAACAGATGGTTAAGTGGTAATTTAAAGGGTAATTTTTTTCTTTCACATCCTATTTTGGTGGTTTCATGGCCTGAGAGAAGTCATCGCGTTGCCAAAGAACCACCTGAATGTTAATTGTTGGAGTTTGTACTTGTTAAGTATGTTTTTCTCCTTGTACCCAGCAAGGTCTGTGGCTGTTAGCAGACCTCCTCAGGTCACAAGCCTCCTCTAAACCTTAGCTCCTCATTCTAATGGTTTCCATTATCCCAGCCACCTGAAAAACAACAAATACTCAACCATAAAACAGCTGCTCGATACAGTTTTACTCCTTCTCCTTGCTTTTAACATCCCATCAAAGTCTTTTGCATCTGGTTCACCATGGTCTCTGGTTTTCTCTCAGGCCAAACGACTATCAGAAATAAAACCATAAGATAAAGTTTATTAGTTTATTCTGAGCCGCATCTTTGATGTGAGCAGTTACCATGGTTACAGGAGCCGTTCTCATCTATTGCGAGGCTAGTGGAAAAGAAAAGGTGCTATTTACCTGTTCATACCAGACTGTAATAATTCACATACAGATCAGGCAGGTCACTCTGCTCCTCTGTTGAACAACAAATGGAATAAACAAGCAGCTAAAACAGAACACTGAGTGTTTTACTGAAATCTGCTATATTTTTATAGCAGATATTTTTATATTTTCAGTCAGCTCCTCAGAAGAAAGGCTCGGAGCCTCCTCTCTTCTGATTGGCTCACCTGTAGTTACTAGAGCTTCAGAGAGAAGCCTGAGAGAGGAGATGTTAAAATACACTGAGATGGTTTTTGGTTCTTAAAACCACAAAAATATCTTTTTATGGATCAACACTTAACAAAAAAACACTGGAAAAATGTAAAATATGGGCCTTTAATACAGCTTGTCATAGTTCTTAGTTTCATTATTGTGAAAAAAATGTCGCCAACAGATAGTTTTTGTTTTATCAGAGTTTCCTCTCTCGTCCAGTTCTTACAAACCTCTTTACCTACTTCTCCTGTGTTCTTCTTTTTTAAGGTCCCAGCACAACTACCTGCGGATCACTCGCATCCTGAAGTCTCTGGGTGAACTGGGTTATGAGGCATTCAAGGCCCCACTGGTTCGCCTCTTCCTGGAGGAGTCGCTGTGCCACAACACCCTTCCAAACATGCAGCACAGCGTCCTGGAGTACTACGTCTACACCATCCGCCTCCCGGCCACCCGCAGACGCCTGCTTCGCTACGCTCGCCAGCACTACAGGCCCGCCCACGCCTTCCTCTGGGGTCCACCACCTAAAAGGCGAGGTGGAGGCGGCGGCACCGGAGGTAGTGTGGGTGCTGGGAGCAGTGGGATCAGAGCACCTGCTCCAACACCAGAGCAACAGAGGAGAGAGGAGGACAGCACCACCTCTACAAGAAATGCGATTATTGTGTCTTCCCATGATGCCATGATGTGCCAGGATTTGGCTGGAGGAGGACTGAAGGGCTGCACAGTACTCGGGTCTAATATGGCTGGACTGGAGGGGGCGTTGATGTTGGTGGGAACTAGAGGAGGGAGGAGCGAGTACAATGAAGTTGTTCCTTTGTAGGGAATAGCAATAAGGTTGGATTGTTATCAGGTTTTACAGCAGAAAAAACTAAAAAAAAACTTTTTAAAATTAAACCAATTCAATTGTAACAAATGAAGAAGAACTTTACTCTTAGCAGACCCCATAGGACTCTGAAACCCAGGGTCAGGACAATAAAACTCATTAATAGTTATAGCTTGGAATCTGATAAACGTGTTATTAGAATCAATTCAGGTTAAGGGCTTAACATAAACTATGATAGTATTCATTGCAGATTATTCAGTTTTACTGTATTAGGGATAATGATGTGGGACTGGGGTGTTTGGGGGGGCTGGGAGGTCATATACTGAGCCAAGCTAAACAATCTCCCCTTGGACCAAATCCCAAAACCATCTGAACTAGGAGAGACCCAAGAAAGAAAGAAAGAAAGAAAGAAAGACAGAAGACTGCCTTATTTAATGTTGGATCTGTGGCAGGTATGAAATATGGTTACTTAATATGGATTCAAGAGCATGTTAGGACCAAAGGTTACCTGCTGATTGGCATGTTGGTCACATGATGGTTTTGGGAAACTGTCCTGCCTACTCAAATCAAACACTGTAGCTGGAGTTCCACTGAGCAGCAAGCTGGACTGAGCTCACTTTGTACAGGCGCTGTAAAGTGAAAATTATAACGTGAAGAGCGAGATCAGGGAGTTTTTTCCTCTCTTTTTTTCAAATTCTGTGAAGTGATATTAGGGGTACATAAAAGAGGCGAACTGGCTGGGGTGGGTGGGTTTGTCATAGCAATACATGGAAACCCTATTTTTGAGCTTGACTTGAAATCCTCGTAACAATAATAATAATAATAATAGCAGGCACAACTCAATATTTATCTGATTTTTTTTTCAATTTTACTGTCTTCAAGTTGAAGGTAGCAGCTCCCTCTGAAAATTGTACAGAACTATAGAGCAAAAAAAGAGACTTGTGTGTGACTTTATATCTATAAGAAACAGTTAAGAATAGAGGCTTTTTAGTGACACCAAAACTCTCCTGTAAACTACGACTGGCACCATGGAGGTCTGCTTGAACAGTGGCTAGGTACAACTGACAGCTAAATATACCCTCATGTTTTTAGCAAGACCTAGCTAAAACTAGTATAACAGTCCTATAGTATATCCTCCTTCATGAAGGTTAAAATATTCAGTTATTGATGAAACTGTGTTAAAGAGATGTTGAATCCAGTCTATGATGCCGTTGAACTGCATTGCATTATGTTGACAGGTGTTCCTATTATTTTGTCCACCCCATTCAAAACAATGAGGGTAGGCTAAACTAGTAGTTGATTATTCCCCTCTTTGCCCGGGACCCTAAGGCCCCTGGGTGAAAACCGCTGGGCGAAACAACTGATTTCAGTAGATCTACAGCTCTTTGTATAATTCAATACACTTCAACAGCACCTCAAACTGCAGCCTCCCAAATGATCAACAGAACATTATCACCTTAATGAAGGAGGATTCATTGTGAGGCTGTTAGACATTTTATCTAGGTGGACTTAAGTAACTGGTAGGTGAGTTTGGTATCCATGTTGTTTCAGGGAAAGGGGGCAGTGTCATTTGTTTTTGAAAATGTAAATTACTGTGTCTTTTTTAACCCTAGTTTATACAAGAAAAAATAGCACATTAAACTTTCAGATAGATAAGTAGTTAACAAGCTAATTTAGAGTAAAATAAAAATGATAACACTGGCTGGTAGAGGTAGTTTCAGAAAGATACATTTGCTAGTGCTGCTGAAGCTACATTAGCTAGCTAGCGTTAGCAGCAGCAGTTAGTAAATCACCGTAGTTATAGAAATCAGATCATACAGTCTAAAAAAAGTTTTAAATAAATAACAACCATCACAAATTGAAGAATTGATGTTTCTTAACATTCGCTGACTGTGATGGTTAGCTAGTGTCCTCCATTTTGTATTAACAATGGAAATAAGTCTAGTTAGGCTAACAGGGCAAGCAATAGATCAAAGTGCATTTCATTTTACATGATCTGTTGTGCTTCTATTGACTGTGAATATTAAATAAGATCAAATATTACACTTTTATCTCAAATTAAAATGGTATTTGAATTTTCAAATTAGAAAGCTAGAAAGAAACTACTATGGTTTTAGGGCTAACATGCTAACATTCATGACAAAACGATTTCATCATCAGTACCAGAAAACCTCCAACATGGCTGCCACAGGGTTTGTTGTGCCACCTAAAAGCCTTCTGCACTTAACTGAACATGGTGACTGGATGTGGACTGTGAATGAAGTTAATGTATCAGACAGATGGTGTTTCGTGTGTTGCACTTTTTTGACAATCTGTGTCTTCCAGTCGAAAGCGCTGTAGGTTTCTTTCTCCAAATTATGGATCTACATATATAATCTTATGAATGGTCAGGAACTTGCTGCGTCATGAACATTATTGATTGTTATATACTATATAATCTAACCTTGCAATAATTTGGCTAAATGATATGTAAAATTTAACCATGTTATACGTATGTAGTTTTCAACCAGGCAACACATAATAGGTGGTGATGCTGTTGACTTTGTTGAATACAACAAGTAAAAGCTTGTAGGGCTAAGTTTGTATAAGTGCTACTGCTGATATCTTTGTTAGATATTCAATATCTTCAAATTTGTACATTTACATAACAAAAATATCCCACAAAAATATGATTTCTCCCTGGATCTGTACTCTAATGAGGGTGCAGGATCCAATAGCATGTAGACCATTATTCTAACTGAGCTTTTCACTGACAGCCAAACTTTTTTTTTTTTTTTTTTTTTTTTTTTTTAATTAAGATTGTCATCTTCCCAAGGTCATCATATTATCACCGTCATCATATCATATCAGATGTTGGCAGCATCACCTTGCTTGTGTTTGTGCTCGTGCAATAGATAGATAGATATCTGTGAAACTAAAAGCCATGTGAGGTGTGATGCGGCGGCAGTGCGTACGATCGGGACTTCAACGCTTCCTCCTGACTGGTTCAGCTGTTCTTCCTGTAGGATACGGCCTTGTTTTTCGTTATCTGACAAGGCCTCTACACCGCTTCCCCAGCCAAGTGTATCTGATATAATTGTAAAAAATAACTTCAGGTGAATAATGTGATCACATGGGCTCAAGTATCTCAATTTTTAGTATATTGTATGTGTACATATATGTGTGTGAGTGCGTGTGGGTATGTGTGTATCTGATATTCTTAAGTGCCTCTTTTGTATTTTTTATGTTTATCTGTATGTTTTAAGGAGTGTCTTTCCCAGCTAATTTCCTGTACATCCTGTTTTTTGTACAGCATTTTGATATTTACATTATTGTTTTCATTATAGTCATACACAGTACAGTATGAGTAATATTAATGTACAGTTACAGCAGGAATAAATCCCATAGGAACTGGTATAGAGGAGAGGTTAATAATATATAATACTTGAAACTGTTTGTATCTTGCTTATTGATTAAAATGTGATTGTTCCATAGATGACTATTCACTAAGCTTGCTGAACACACCTGTGTTTTGTCAGTGTTTTTCAGCAGAGGTGGTCCACAGTTGGATGTTTGCCCTAAAATGTGAAATTTGCCACAGTTTACTCAATAAAACTGGGGATGTGGATTAAGACATTTTTCAACTGAGAGAGAGTTTAAAGAAAGTGAGCGTTGTGCATTATGTGTAGATTTAAGTTGATGAGCACATGTTAGTCAGGTTCTAGGGGCAGGGATAATCTCACTGATTGGTTTGCTGAACAGCTACCACTGTTAAATAAACTCATGGTAGAAGATTAAACATGCAAATGCATCAGAAGCTCTAATCTGACTGGAGCTAATGTTGTATTAATATGCACATGGAAGCCACATAAGAATATGAAAAAAAAAAAAAATGCAGCAGGTTAATGGTGTCACAGGCGGAAGCTCTAAACCAGTGAATGGCAACTTGAGGCCCCTGGGCCAAAACTAATTATTTTAATTATTTATTATTTATTATTATATTATAATTTTTTTTATTTTTTATTTTTTATCTTATAATATTGAACTGACAGTCCCACATTTAGTTTTAATGTCCAAATAGAGAATCTACCCCGACCTGAAGATGCTTATACTTCTATCCATGTTGAGCGAATGACAGACACGGTCTTTGTTTGCAGCAAATAGATTGTCAGATTTTAATCTGAAAAGTTCGGACAGGAAGTTCCTCAGGTTCCGTTGCTTGACATCCCTCTGAAATAGTGGACATACTATGTGATATGAAAAATAACAGCTGTTCAGTGTCTGTGGGCCACAGCACCACATGTGAACAGTAACAAAGTAAATTCCTGTTGCATTTTTATCAATCAGTTTCTTAAATTAGCCTTTGATTATGTTCTGGCCCGACATTTAATAGATTAGAAAAAAATCGGCCCCACCCCTGGTCTAAACAGTTGAATATCCCACCCCCACACTCAAGATAAACCTGCAGAAACCATAGCCTACATGACTTGTTGCTACACGGATTTGGAAAAGGTTGCCAAATGCACACATTTCTGCACAATAGGAAATTAACACATTCACACACAGAGGGACTGGAGATGAAAAGTTTCACTTACGATACACAATATGAAACACAAGGATGACGCTATGTCGAGCACACTCAGCATGTGCTAGGTCAGGTGGATTGTGGTAAATGCTAGATTGAATCAATCGAAGGGGTGCTCTGTGATTGAGAATATGAGTTAGCGGCGGGGGTCTGACAGCGAAACAACCACAGCAGCTTCAGTCTCTACAGCTGATCCAACCTAGCACCAAGCTGGGGTTTGTTATTAAATCAATATAGATTTGACCCCGACTGCATGCTCTGGCCTGGGAGCCCTCACGGTTTTGGCGCCTATGAAAGGCGTTATGTTAGAAGCTCAGTAAAAAAAAGTGAAATTTTCTTAAATCCCAGCGCTGTATGCCGAGATACTGGAGCTGGAAACGGAGCCGAAGATTACTGAAACGTACAAAAACACAGAATAACTGACATCCTCCAGTGTACACAGAGGTTGGTCATTCTTGACAGTCAGAAAGGAGCATTTACTTGACCCTCAAATCCCAGCCCTGTCACAAACAGCTTCCCATCTGGGCTTGATGTTGGACTGTCACTATATATCTTAACCCTTTTGAGGCTTTTTTTTTTGGGGGGGGGGTAAGGCCACAATATATCCACCAGAAAAGTAAATATGAATATAATTGAATGAGCATGTACAGTATGTGACATATAGGTTTAAATACTGAATATTAGGAAATAGAAATAGAAATAAAAAGAATGTCAGTCATGAATAATTATCATTTGTCTTTCACTGAGCAGTTAATACAGATAATGGTGACTGCTGTTTTCCTCTCACTATTATCTTTAATGCTAACGTATAAACCGTTTCAGTCTCATTTGGAGATTGGAAATGTCTGTTGTTCAGGTTAATATTTCAGAGTGTAATTTTTACACTCACACTCAC